CCCTTCCCCTCAATCCAACCATCCGAATAGCATCATTGAGCAAGTAGTGTCTTCGTGTGTGTGTCGGCCCAACCCAACCACTCTTATTTACCCTCGTACGGCGACGAGCCTTCATATCCATGTGATCTGGCTGATGAGGAGGAATTTATAGAGCGCCCCCATCTCTGCAGGAATTATTTAACGTCGCAGTCAGGACGACGATCACAGCCAGATTCACAATGAACTCCCAACCAGAAATGTTTATAGACGGTCTGGTAAGCGTCTGTCATGGGGTGGCACACCCGGAGGAACTTCTATTAGCGCAGCAAGTGCCAAACAGGACAGCAGCCATTGCATGCGTGCACTACTCCCTGTGGGTTGGCATGGTGACCGTGACCCAAGTGCTTCGACCAGGGCCCTTCAGAGGCACCACCCCTTTCTCCTTCCAGATGCTTCCGGGAAGATTGTCGTCTCTCAAGGTAGCGCGCTCACGACACCTCACCAAAAGAGAGGACTCTCAAGTTGGACTCACTTCCTCCCGGTAAGAAGAGATTGAGAGAGTAGATCAGGTAAGGGAACAACATACCTGGAGATAGCTGCCCCCAACCACAGATTTCTCACCAATTGAGCTGATGTTGCATTTGATGACCGGTCATGACCTCGGTACCACCCACAACGCAATGCAGTGCCACCTTAGTCCAATGCCACATCAGCATGCTCTCATCATCAATCAAACATTCCGCTGTATCCCACGGCATACACTGCCGTACCAGCCTTCCGGTGCACCTCTCTCTACCCTGGGCATGCACCTATAGTAGCCTGATGTCACAAGTACCCACTGCGAAGAAGCATCGTCAACGCACCAAGTCTGTATAACACCAGCATGCCAAAGGTAAGTGGCGATCAAACCAGCTCTGATACCAAATTGCAAGGAACATGAGTATGGACGAAGCACAGAAATCCAGAATGCAAAAATCACACTGAAATCCAAGTAGTCAAAGCCAAAGCAGATAGCACATGGAACCGAGTAACCATCCAATTGAGAATGATACAGAAGAATCGTGAGTCAATGTCCATGCCCAACAGGGCAACACCAACAGCATAACCCAAATGTAGCTCTCTCTTGTGAATGGCGCCAGGTGCCCTATCTACTCCACAGCTATCCTACAACTACAGCAATGAAAAGCAACTAGACAACTTGACTACCAGCGAGTGATGATGTCAACACCAATGCCGACCTCCACCATTACCAGGTACGTGTCCTTTTCCCCACACTCTCCCTTGTTACCCACACAGCGCCCTTCACCTCACCTACACCCTCATGTGGCCGGGCTATGGCCGCCAGTGCCTTGCGTGCAGGCAGCGCCCTACCGCCTAGCGCTGGCCTGCTTGCCCTTAGCGCAGCACTGCTTTGCACAGCGCAGCACAAATGCATCCGCGCAGCGTGCCCGCAAGTGCCAGCATTGGCCAAGATCCCTGCTGCCTTGGCCTGCTTGCCTATATGCCAGTGCAGCGTGTGGGCGGCCTCCCTTCAGCCTGTGACCGGGGCCCAGAGGCTGAAGCCAACCCGATACAGTTGGGCCCCGGGGCAATGCAGTTGCACCTCCTTCATCAAGGCCTGCGGCCAGATTCAGACAGTGGGCTGATTTCCTTTTGGCATTTTCGGCCTCTCTACCCAGCGTGCAATGTCGGTCTCACGTTCAAGTGCCCAGGGCCTAACTAACTCAGAGCCCCTGGGCATTTCAGCATTTGCTGAAATCCAAGACTCGGTGCACTCCAACCAACTGGCGTGCTGCAACTGTATAGACCCCACTTCGTGAAATGTTGGCATAGAGGGCTCTTGTTGATTTGCTGGCCCGCCTTCACTTAGGGCGGGCACTAGGCTTGCTGGGGCCTTAGCCCAGAACATGTACATCATGGCAAGGCCCCTACGTGAGGGCTCAATCCTCACAGTTTGTTTCACTCCGACGTTCGGGATGCCTGCGCCTGGTAGTCCGAGCCTCAGCAGGGTTCGGCGTACCGGTCGGCCGAGGCTCGGACTCTATAGATGGGGCAGGTACTGGTGGTTTAACTATTTATTAGAAAAAGAAAAAAACATGCACACTTCTTAGTGGCCTTTATGCGGGTGTTGCGTGTGGTTAACCAAGACCTGGTACCAAGTCTGACATGACGGGGGTTCGGAGTGACTGGAGCCTCCCCCCCCCGGCAACTTGAAAAAAATAAAAAAAGGTATATTCTTTTTTTACAAATATTTTCAAAGGTATATTCTTAACTATTTCTTAGAAGAAAGAAGTCCATTTAACATTCATGTATATTTTTTATGGATGTGAAAGTATGTTTAGGTCGGGGTTTGTGCGTGGTGAACCAAGATATGGATCCAAGTCCGACAGCCCCCTCCCTTTGCAACTTGAAAGAGAAAAAGTCTATTTGAGTCTGTGTGAGTACTTTCTTTACCATTTTATGCGAGCCCGCACCACGGGCGCTAAGCTATTATCCCTTGTTTGCACCCCAGCTGTTCAAGGCTTTGCGGGCTAAAACAGCATCCAACCCTGGATCTCGTTTTCACAACAGTGTTTCCGTAGTTTGTTATGCAGGCAAAGTCTGCACTGGCAGCACCGCGAGCGCTAAGCTTGTATCTGTTGTTTGCACCCCAACTGTTCAAGGCTCTGCGAGCTAAAACAGCATCCAACCTTGAATCTCGTTTTCACAACAGCTCCACTCAACCCTTTTTACTGGGAACATCGGACGCCAGGATCAAGCGATATTACTACCGATCTCACTACTACCCTATCCCTTACAAGTGTATCACAAACCACATCTGAGGACCCACCCAAGCCCACATCACATCCACGACACTCGTACCAAAAACAATAGCCCCACCCTGGCCTTATGGTCATGTCTCGTATGTACCCCTAAATTCCAGATCACCAGGAACTAAGGGCTAACAGCCTCTACTCGCCCTCTCACAGTCCAAGCTGATTTACTGCACTGGTCCGCGCGGTACTTATCATCATCGGTGCCCCCTGCCCCTTGATGGAACCCGAGACCTCTAACCCTATGAGTTACGTCAAATTATCCCAGTCGCCCGTCTCCCCTTACAGGTAGTGCTGCCCTAGACTGACACGGTAGGCTGGGGGATCACACCAACATCATCGTGGAAACACACAACAGAAATTCAGGGTAGATCTCCCAGAAACAAGCCCGCAATGGCTCCTTCAGGATGCCCGCTCTCTAACCAACTGAGTTACCATTGCTATAGTACTTCCCTGGTCAATCATCAGTACCCTAGACTGAAGGGACAAGCCCGTGAAGTGTCAAACTAACACCAGACCGTGGTAATCGTTCGCATCTTTCCCTAAAGACGGACGTGGAACGTTCGAAGCACGAAGGTCACATCCAATACCAGAAAAGATCCCCGTTTCTTGATTCATTCACCATGTTAAATCTTTATTTTCTTGAATTTTGGACGGTTTCTCCTGTGCGTGTAGTCCTTGTGCAGTGGCCGTGCTAATCATCTGTAACAGGCATTTCGTTAAAATTGACATTTTTTACTATTCACCTAGGCTACCAGCCGGGCCGCCCGGGTCCCGGGTGGCCAGCCCGTGCAAGGACCAAGGAATGTCCCAGCAAAAACAAAAAACAAAAAAAACAAAAAATCAAAGAAATCCGAAAAACAACTATGTTATGAAGAAAAATAAACTGAACAACGTTTGCCTCAGGGTCACATCGAAATTCTTCACCAAATTTAAAATAAAAAATAAAACTCTAAAAATAATTTTTTATTTCTATTTGTTTTATGTTTTTTGGCCCGGCAGGGCAAGTGACCCCGGGCCACTCCGGTAGCCTAGATTTTCACGAAATTGATCTTCCAAGAAGCACAGTATTTTTTAACATTGTTTTGTGCCGACCACATCAGACCATTGATTATCCTGCGTCATCTGATCTGCCTCAATTTTTTTTCTCATTTTTTTTTTGACCCTCGGATGTATTTTGACGGTACTTTATGTAGAGATTTATTAGATGGTCTGGAGTCCCCAGGACGCCGGACCATCAATGGTCCAATGTCGTGGGCAAAAAACCCGCTGAAAAACACAATTTTTTCTTGGATGCCCAATTTCGTGAAAATAGAAAAAAAATGTCAATTTTAACGAAATGCCAGTTCTGTATGATTGCAATATAACAGATGTCCCGAATCACGGATGTGGAAAGTTCAAGCAGTATGGTCAATGGGACTTAGTGACCGTTCATGTTTCTCCGTGAATGATCAATCCAGGAATAACGTACGGTGTGAGTTCTCAGAGCAGGAAATTGCAGAGGAGATCAGGTCATCCCCGGGATCAATCTTTTTGTCTGTTATCTTCTTACTTCAATTATTTATAAAATAGGTGTTAGTTCAAAGGTCTCAGCATTCAGCTGCAGAACGATCAGTAGGGTATAACCAGACAGCTAATGCTCGTCCCTGGGGGAAGGACAACCAATTGTAGTCGCATCAAAGTCATTCTTGCCTTTCACTCAGGATCTCTCTGTCCTTTTGTCTGTTATTATCTTATTATTAAAATTACGTATAGAATGGTAAATAGTTCAAAGGTCTCAGCATTCAGCTGCAGGATGATCCGCAGGGTATAACCGAACAGCTAATGCTCGTCCCGGGGGGAAGGACAACCGATGCTGCTCGCATCAGGGTGGCGTGGAGAGAGTATCCATGTGTGTTCTGGGCCGTTGGACCCATTTTCCAGCCGATGCAGCTCCACCCGATATAAAGGAGGCTTGAAAATGAAAGGGTCAATCTCAAGGATGCTCCTACTACCGCAGGGGGAATAGAGGATCTACAATCGCATGGGAAAGAAAAGAAAGAAAAAGAATCGTTCATGTTTCTTGTTTTCCTGGAGCTGTGCCTATCACAGATCAAAAGCGGGCGACAGCTCCTGCAGCTGTGATTATCACTATCAATGTATGAGACATATCCAAAGCGAGCGAGAGAAAGGCGATAGGACGAAGTGGAGGCGGTTGAGAAGGCGCACCTGTTACAGTAAGACGCACGCTTATCCCGTCAACGTTCGGCAGTGCAGCGATTTCTTGAAGTGTCTTGGCGCTTATCTGATCATCCAGAAAACAGATGATGCGCACCCTTCGCGCGTCTTCAAGGCTCCCGTGCATCAAAAACCATCTCCGGATCTGACTGTGAGCATCACCCACCACCTGCGATAGAGTTTCTTTACTATAATCATCCGGTGCAGGTCTGTATTCCAGGAACACGTCCTCCCACCTGGCATTGCTTTCCTCCATCGTCTTCCTTAGCCCTTCAAGCTGTACCTCCACCACATCAATATGCTCTTCTTGGGGCTTCCAAATGGCAAGCACCTTCCCTCTCGGCACTTCGTTTTCCGTCATAGGCTCGTCCGATCTGTCCGCGATGATAATCGACACGTCCTCTTCTGACCGTTCGAGCTTCGACAAGACCGGGGACAACGCACTTTTCACAGATTCCCCGAGGACCGCACCTTCATCAGCATGGCCGCAAATTATAAATTTACCCCCCCGCTCATCCCTCGCTCCACCGAGCTTGTCAACCATGATAGAATCTTGGAAGTCTCCTGGAAGGAGAAATCCGTCGATCACCCTGAGCTTCGGCAGTGAGTGCCAGATGTCCTCACTCACTTCTCCCTCGAAGATGATCCTCGTTGCGGCAGCTGCGCCATGGTTAAGCGAATCAACAACAGCTTGTCGTAAATGTCGAGCCACCCTGAGCACATCTTCCGTAGCAGACGATCCGAACGTCCAAGGACTTGTCTTCGACCAAGCCGGTTGGTACGCCAGAATAATGTTCCTCCAATAGCTGCCAACCTGCCGGATGAGATCCTGAAGTTGTCCTAGCCACTGAGGTTCTTGTCGATCATTGCCATCGTGGCACTGATCGTCGCTGCTGTCGTCGGCATCGAGATGGTCTTCGACGCAGACTATGACAAAAAGACCGGCTTGCACAGACATTTTGACTAAGTTACCCGCGACCTCGTTCCATCCCGGCTTGCCTCCGCTCATTCGGACCAGCACGTAGGTAAAACCTTGGTCCCTGAGACACTCCGGTGGCTCGTAGCTATGGCGCGTTGCCACTTCAATAGTGTTCCCCGTCCTTGCAATCAGCTCCCGCGCGGCACTAAGCTTGTCATCCGGCACGAAGGCGATGATGTCGCAGAGATTGGCACTCAGTGGGAACAATTTGCTGCTGCTGCTGCTCTCGGAGGCCCCCTGGTCGTCGCCCTCGTTCTTGAGAAGCAGCCGCAAACGCTCGTCGATATAATCGGACTCCAATCGACAAGCGACAAAGAGTTTCCTACCTGAAAGTGATCTGGCCCACGCCTCCCCCAACGCCAACTCGCACAGCCTCTTGAACTCCTCGAATCCCTCTCTAAACTTTCCAATCCTCCGCTTGCAATCGCCTGCCGCTCCCTCAAGCCATCCCTCCACCTCAATCCTGCACGAGCATATGACATCCCGCAGCCAGTTTGGACACTCAAGCTTTCTCTTGTCAACTTCCCCGGTGTATTTCATCCACTCGTACTTCTCCCTGCTCATCTGCTCAATACACGCTTCCAACTCAATCATCTCCTGGGCCCGGTGCTTCCAGCGGTCGATTTCTTCATCCCTAGCTTGCCCTATTTTGTGCAACGAGACCGTGGATCGACCAGATTCTCGGAGAACAAGTATTCCACACTCGTCCATCTCAAGCACCCCGCACACTTCCTCGTCCACCATTCTTAACTTGCCCATTCGATTCTGGCGCCCCTCGAATATGTCCAAATCAGTTTCCTCACCACGATAATTGCTAATCCGAAAGGAGAAGGGTGAAACTCGTACATTCCCATCCTTGGTAAACACAGTACTCCAAATTGAATCCCCCTGTATCTTGAAATCAATACCCCTCGGATATATGTTGTCCAAAATCTGGTCCCTACACGCGGTGAAGAGTGCCGCGCCGCGCACGATAGCTTCATCTTGGTAGGCGAGGGGCTGTGGCGCCTTGTCGAAGAACACCCTCAACATGCGGCCGATCTCGGGAATGCGTGTGGATCCCCCTGCGAGGACAACTGCCTGCACTTCTTGCGGTTCAGTCTGCTTCTGTGCCACACGCAAAAAGCATTCCAAGCACCGATCGAACAACGGTCTGCACCTTCGCTCGAACACTTCCCGCTCCAGATTCAGTACCAGCTTTTCTTGGCCGTCGAACAACTCAATCTCAATGAGCGCATTCCTGAGCGATGTGAGGTCTCGTTTCGCTCTCTCACTCGCAATCTTCAACTTCAGCGCCGTACCTTTTCTGCTGTCGAGGGGCTTACCGAACTTGCTGACCCATTCTTCTTCTATGAGTTCGATTATCTCTTCATCGAAGTCCTTGCCTCCGAGACACGTATCGCCGTCCACGGCATCTACCGTCAACCTCCCATCGCCGATCGAAACAAGCGCCACGTCCAGGCTTCCACCGCCGAGGGAGAAAATTAATACCTTGGAGTGACCGTTTTGTCTTTGACGAGGACCACATTTGCTCATTGACAGCATGCCGTTGTCGTGAGCATACGCCACAGCGGCGGCAGTAGCCTCGTTCACGAATTCCACGTCCGTGAAGCCTGCAATCTGGGCCGCGATTTTCGTCGCAGATCGCTGTCGGTCGTTATAGAAAGACGGCACAGCTATGGTAGCAGCGCATAAACTGCCGCAATGGAGAAAAGATTCAGCCATGCTCTTCATCTTGGCCAACAGCATCGCTAGGATCTCTTCCGGGGCGAACAGCGTGGCACCTCTCTGCTCTGCTGTCGAGGCATCCTCAGGCCCACTCTCGTCTCCATCCTCCTTAGAAAGCCAGGACAAGAACGGACTTCTTACCTCGATTCGGACCTCGCCCTGTAACCCTCGCTTGACGTTGAACGGCCACCACCGAAGCTCCTCGGTGATGGAGTCGTAATCTCGCCCGATCAGTCGTTTCACTTCGTACAGCACGTTCTCCGGGATCCGCCGAGCTTGCTTCTGTGCTTGCCCCACTAAACGGCTTTTGTCCGTGAACGTGACAAAAGACGGCGTTGACAGCTCTCTGAATTCGTTGGGTATGACGTGGACAATCCCATCGCTCCCAATCACCGCGACCGCACACGAAGAAGTACCCGGATCGATGGCTATGCGAGTGATGGTCGAAGCCGCCGCCATCGCCACCTTCTCGATACGCCGCCTCTCTCCGCCGAGCCACTCCTGGTCGGCTATCTTCTTCCGAACTCTTCCTCCCTGCTGTCCGCTTCGTCCGCGACTCTGCGCTGCGTCTTGCCCCACTCTCCCTGATTCGTCAGCGCCTCTCGCCCGCCAATCTACCAATGTTTGTTGACTAGGTGAAGGGCCGGTTAATGCCAAAGCTTTTCTAGAAATTTAGAAAAATATGAAACCGATGAAGAAGATAGACGAGAGAAGGGAGAAGAGATGAAGGGCCAGCCCAGGGTGGCTTCCACCTTTGTTTCCTTTACAGGTTCACAATTCGGGGTCGACGAAGTAGCAGGGTCGCGTCCCATGTTTCGCCTCAGACAAAAGACCTGCGAAAAAGCAGTCACCACACACACACGACCGTTTCGCCGGAGAAAGGTCAGGATCGAGTCATTTCAGGTTACAGTGTGGCACGCAATTGGCAACGCCCGTTGCGCCCGGAGTCCTAAGACCAGCCCCAAACTCAGCCCTTGGCCGCCACCAATAGAAAGCAATCAACTTGATTCGAAAAAAGCCATCAACATGATTCGACAACAGCAATCATCCGGGTGGAATTGTGACGTCCCGACCTCAAACCATATATGTGAGTTGCACAGTAATATTTCTTCTCAACATGGCCCCCGAGCCGGATTCGTGAGCCAGCGAACGAGTGAAGGAGTAAGAATTGTGCCGACTCGTGCGTGCTTGTGTGTGTGTGTGTGTGTGTGTGTGTGTGTGTGTGTGCGCGCAAGAGAGAGAGACAGAGAGAGAGAGAAACAGGGCGAGAGCGCGCCCGCCATCATGAGAGTTATGTGTGTGTAAGAGAGGAACCAGATGACGAACGCGCGTACAGGGTGGGGGGTGTGTGTGTGTGGGGAGAGAGAGAGAGAGAGAGAGAGAGAGAGAGAGAGAGAGAGAGAGAGAGAGAGAGCGGAAGAGAGGCAGAGAGAGAGAGAGGGAGGGAGAGATCCGAAGAAAGCAATGAACTTCATTCCAAAATAGAAATCATCCGGGTGGAATTGTGACGTCCCGACCTCAACCCTAGTATGTGAAGTGAACAGTAATATTGCTTCTTAACGTGGACAGCGAGCCAGATTCGTGAGGCAGCCAGCGAACGAAGGAGGAAGAATCATGCGTGCGTGTGAGTGTGTGTGTGTGCCCGTGCGTGCGCGCGTGCGTGCGTGTGTGTGTGTGTGTGTGTGTGTGTGTGTGTGTGTGTGTGCGTGTGCGTGCGAGAGAGAGAGAGCGAGAGAGAGAGAGAGAGAGAGAGAGAGAGAGAGAGAGAGAGAGAGAGAGAGAGAGAGAAATGACGAAATAAACCGAAAGAAACGAAAGAAGGGCTAACCACAGTCTTTGTTGATTCATCACTACGTGTGTGTGGGGACAGAGAAACAGAGGGCGAAAGCGCGTACAAGGAGGAGAGAGAGAGAGAGAGAGAGAGAGAGAGAGAGAGAGAGAGAGAGAGAGAGGAACAGTCGCCACTACCGGCAATTGGCAAAATCTGGAGGCATGTCGGCCAATCGAGAACGCAATCAGACAGAAATCGAAGCCATGCAAAAGCACCAATCGTGAGCAGCGAACGACATAGTCACCACTGATGAAGGAAAAAAGCTCGGATCGTGAGCAGCAAACAAGATATAGGGCGTCGCCGAACGGCTCACGAAACGAAAAACGAAACGCCTGCATCTTCCCACCGACCATGAATTTCGCTATAAATAGTAACGAGTGTATTTTCCATCTATCGTGGGCAGATGCACTCGTTTCCTTTTCGTTTCGTCTGCCGTGTTTCAAGGCCCGTAGACGTCTGACGAAGGGAAGACATGCGTACCGGTCCGACGCCCTCTCCTCTCGGTCACGAAAACTAGGGAGCGCGAGCGAAGTCGGCCGGACCGCGCGGGAGCGCTGCGTTAACTCCAGCGTTACAGCGCTACCGTAGCGATTTGGGCGAAGGTGTTTCTCAGCTCGATTGCGCGGCATGCTTTTTCGTCTTCTTCCTCGGTATTACCGAGGGAGGAGTGGTAAGGGCCTGCCTTCACCATTGATATGGTGCGTGCCGACCGAGGGATACGGGGCGGCCTAGGCAGCGGCCTGACTCGGGAGTGGCTTCCAAATCGGGGAGGTTAATGCTCGAGTCTTAATTTCAAGAGACTCCTTGTCGATGCCCTTAGCGTGAATGCGCTCTCGGGGCGAGTTGAACATGGTTTGGTCTTGAAGTGAAAACGGGGAGCGGCTGTGATCTTGATGCAGGTATAACGTTTTTCCCCGCCCCTGGATTCGCGTTCTCACTCGCTCTGGTATTTAAGGTTGTATGGGAAGGGAGTTATGCTATTGCTTTTATAGATTTTCCCATATTTATTGGAAGCTTCCTTTCCTATTCTACTTTAATTAGTAAGTTTTGATATAACTAGGCTTTCCTTTTTTCCTTTTTCGACAAGTTAAGACTGGCTCAGGCCGGTCTGAAATTGTTTCAGCCCGCATGGCGGCTCCTGACCCCCCGCGGCCCATCTCGCCGGACGAAAAACAACGAATCCGGGGCATCATTTCACAGTGTTACCTGGACGGTATTCTCCCCCCTCGCTTGGCTTCGTCGGTGGTTGAGGAGGGAGAGGACTATGTGAGGGTCACAGTGAACCCTGAACTTTACGAAGTCCAGGCCGAATGGCTCCGCGAACACGCGGTCACCATTCTGTTCGGAGATGAGTCCGCGTCAGTCCCTATAGACGTAAGAAAACGATTAGTTCGGATCTATGAGGATGGGTGGGCCAGCTCGTCCCAAATTGCCTCGCCTGCGAAGAGGCGCCTTTTTCATAATGAGTCACGAAATTTGATTACGTATATTGCCCCGACCAGCGACGTCGCAACATGGATGCTTAAAATGCCGCAAACAGAAGTTGAACTAGACAAGGTCAAGTCTAGCATTTCATTTAGGCCTTGGATGACTGAAACTGAGCTTTGGGAGTGGAGGGAGGTGGCGCGACACCGGTTCTTTTGGATTCGGTGCCAGCTGGTGCCTGTTGAGGTCCTCCCCCTCCTCCCAGGGGCTGTCCGCGACGCCTATGGTTGTAAGGTAATAAAGGAATACCCGGTATTTAAGGACAAACTAGACCCTGATCTTGTGAATGTAAGGTTTGATTTGGAATCTGTCGCTGGTGATTGATCTGGGTCCAGATGGTTACGTTGAATTGGAAGTGGTCTGCGCAGAGACCCCGTGGTGCCCTGCATGCAGGCAACATTTTCATTCAGAAGGGGACGAATTTTGTCAATCGAGTAAAAAGAAATCATATGCGAAAGCGGTCAAGGGAAAGAGGAAGGGTGAGGCCGAGGGTAAGGGGGAGAAGGTGGCAGGAAGAAAGGACGGTTCAAAAAGGGGGAGAAGGGAGGACGGAGAGAACCAGAAGGATGGGGGAAAGGACGGGGGGAAAGACGAAGGTAAGGAACAAGAGGAGAGGGGGGACAAGGCCAGGCAGGAGAAGGACAAGAACAAAGACATGAGGGTTGAGGATGGTGGGGGGAAGGGGAAAACTGGGAAGGAGATCGCATATGTAGAGAAGCAGAAAGGAGAAAAAGAGTCAGGAACGGCTACACCTGAATTGGTCAAGGAAAAGGAGAAGACCAGGGTTGACCCAAAGGGGGATATAGGAGGGAAGATGAGTGATGCTTTGGACGCGAGCGCAGGGACTTCTCTGGTCCCTCTCTCAGACAAGATGGACGAGGATCGGCCTACCCCCGGACGGGAAAAATGCAAACGTGTTGAGGAAACTGAGTCGGGGGACAATCTCCATATTCGTAATTTTGTTGTTAAAGGTAAGGAGATCGTATTATACGAGAGATCGCTTCCGTCACCTGGCCCTGGGACCCCCCCTCCCTCACCCTCCTCACTGATGGTTAAAGAGGACGGGGATGAGGAGGAGTCTTCATCTCTATCTGAAAACGACAATGAAGATCCTTCAGTGGTTCCCATCGCCCGGAAGTACGAAAACGAGGTCTATGCATCCTCTCAGGATGAGGATGATTTTGACTCTGATCTGGGAGTGAAAAATCTCTATCTGCTGAAGAGCGCTAAATCAGACCCTGCTGTGCCAGTCGTTTCTTCTGGGTCTAATAAGGAGGATTACCGCTCAGTCGATAGCCATAACTGGACACCTGGTACTGATGAAGGTTCTAATAAGGGGGAGAGGTCTATCTCTCCTCTTGCTGTGGTTTCCCCCGCGAAAAAGCAATTTTCCCCCAATAAGAGAGCACAGGGTCCTGGGATTAAGGGTGGTTCTTCAACAGCCACTAGTCAATTTCCCCTCCCCAAGAATACGGGTTCCCAGACCAAGGTAAATCTGGGCAAATCTCGTCCTTTGAAAAAATCCTTGAATCTTGCCTAGCCCATGCAGACTCTGTCTGCCAAGGACAGGAAATCAGGTAAGTTTAAAGAATTTCTGGTTCCCCTCGTGATTACGTCGTCTCCCCACGGCCCCATGGTTCTCACGAATATTGACGAGAATGAAGCCCTGTCACTCCCGGCGGTCCCCACCACAGGCCCGCCTCCGGAGTCCCTCTGGCTCTCGGCCACGAAGGAACAGGTGCTGCGACATTCGGGTGTCTGCACTTTGTTACAGACCCCTAAACGGGGCTGTCACATTCCGTCCAATGCACAAGGCAACAAGACTGTGCTTCATATAGCCTGGCTTGCCCTCCAGGCGAGCCCAAGGGACCTGGATACACTGCGCTCTCAGCAGATCTATTGGCTCCCCCTTGCCAGGTTCTTGGACACATCTTCCGACACGCTGAGAGAAATTAGTCTTCGAGAGGGCCTGTCTTCCCAAGACGTGGTGGATTGGCTTCACGTCACGGAGGCTGCAGATGGCTTTACATCAGAGAGATTCACAGTTGACCTGTCGGCTTCGTCCTTTTCGGTCCCCTTAGGCCAGGAAGGGGAAGCCGCTCTCCCGAGGGGTGGAGGGTCTGGGGCTCGGAAAAAGGCAACATCCCGCATCCAAATCACACGCGGCAGAGGTTCAGGAGATGGTTCTACCAATTAGAATCAGACTCCTGACTTGGAACGTGCGTGGTTTTGG